ACCTATCTTGATGAGAGAGCACAGGTGCAGATTTGTGGCGGGAAGTGGTCATTGGCTGTAGAGAGTTTCACTGCCTTTGACGCAGCTGAGTGGAGGAGATGGTAGGCAAGAGATAGGAATTAAGGCTGAGGAGTTTAAAATTTGGCCTTTATTCTTTTGGGGCCACTGTTATGAAAAAAGATAAATGATAGGAAACAGGGAAATAAATCTTTTAGAGATGAAAAGGGGACCTGGGGATGGAAGGAGAGGGGAAGGAGAGGAGAGGAAGGGGAAAGGACTAAGATGTAGTATGTACACTTACCCACCTCCTGTGATGAGTGTATATTCTATCACAAATATATACTAATGAAAATAAAGAACAATGAAAACTAGATGGGAAATTTGGTATCACAAATAGAGTGCTGATGAGAAAGGAAACAGAAAGCAGAAAAAGGAAAACAGTTGTTAGACTGGATACGTAAAGACGGCTGGGAAGTGGAATTCAGGTGGAAAGGAGGAAATTCACATAAATATATTGGTTGTAGCCTTGGCGAGTTGATGTAACAATTTAGTGAACAGAGGGGGGTCCAAGGTGATTTGAAGTTTGATTATCGTGGCTGGAATTGCTGCTGTAAAGCAGGGGAACAGACTTGGGTGTACTGCGTCTGAGATGGTGGAGGCCATGCAGATGGCGCTGGCCAGCAAGAAGTGTCCGCTTTTCCTCCGCGTCCCCATTGGAATTGAGGGTGATTTCTTTTATCGATCAGTGCTTACAGAAGGGTTTTTTTTTTGTTTTGTTTTGTTTTTTGTTTTGTTTTTTTTTTTGGCTTTGCTCTTTGGCATATGTGATACTGCACAGGTTTTTCAAATAAATCCAAGATAACATCATTTGTTATTGTCTCATAAATTTTTTTTTCTTTTTTTCTTTTTTTTTGGTTTTTCTCCGGTACCGGGAACTGAACTCACGACCTTGCGCTTGCCAGGCAGGCGCTTTGCCACTGAGCTAAATCCCCAGCCCCTTGTCTCATAAATTTTTAAAACATCAGATCTCTTATAGTCTTATTTCTGGGAAACCAAGTGTGTACTGAGTTACTTTTCTCTTTGCCTTCTCGGAGTTCAATAACAAAGCCTTTCTCAGTCTATTTTGACTGGGAATCATGAGATAAGGTACTATCTGATGATGGAGTAGTAGGGTACAGTGCCTAAAAAAATTGAACTTGACATCAGACAGAGTGTATGCCAATACCATTTTTCCCCCAGCTAGTCATCTGGTGTTAAGAACGTTGCTGGCCAGGTGTGGTAGCACACACCTGCGATTCCAGCAACTCTGGAAACAGGCAGGACTATTCAAGGGCAGCCTGGGAAACTCCGCAAGACTCTGGAAACGTAGCTCCGTGGTAGAGCACTTTTCTAGCATGTGCAAAGCACCAGATTTAGTTCCTGGTACTACCAACAAGAAAAAGAAACGGAGAGGAAGGCAAAGGGAAGAAGAGTGGAGGGAGGGAGGGGAGAGGAAGGGAGGGGAAGGTTAGGGAAGGGAAGGAGAGGGAGAAGGAGAGAGAGAGAGAGAGAGAAAGGGGTTGCTTGATCTTTTCCACTTAAGTTTTTCCCTTCATCTTTAAAGTATTGGTGGTTGAGCTAATATCAGTCTGCCTTTTGTGGGAATTAAATGCGGCACACTGTGCAAGGGGAAAAGCTCAAGGTACAGTAAGCATTAAATAAATGGCAGTTTTGTCTTGTCTGTAATTTGTGTTCTCAGAATACCTTTTGTACTGTCATTACCTCTATGTAATTTATTTAATTTTCTGAAGAGCCAGAACTGAGCCCAGAATTGTAATCCTGTACAATTTCAGCAAAATTTTCAGGAAATTAAGAGCATCCGATGTTTGCTGTCTTTCAATTTCCAGTTTTTTCCTGTTGTTCTTTAAGACCTGCTGCTTGCTGTGGTACTGATTTTACCGTACTGGCCTGAGTGTCAAAGCTCCATGTGGAAATATTGGTAAGGATATTAAAGCGAAGGACTCTTCTATGCGTGTCCCCTTGCCGTGTGTGCCCTGGGTCTTCCGGACTGTTGGCCTCGGGGAGTGAGCCACAGACCGTTCTCCTGTGGGGCAACTCTGCACAACTGCTAGCCCTCTGCGGACGTGCTCTGTGAGTGTGGAGAAACGATGCCCTTTCCTTCAGTGTAGCCGGCTTCGTTCTTACCGTAACTTGTAAATGTGGCCTCTAAATTAATTTTTGTTACCAAAGGTTCCTCTGGAACTAATTCTCGATTAAGTAATTGTCACTGTTTTGGAAGATTTTAATTTTGTATATTAGTTGTACTAAATGTGTCACTTTAAAAATTTAGTGACGGTAACTGTGGGATCTTATTGCTTAATGAAAGCCTAGTCATAATTTTTTGGAATTAAAGATAAGAATAGTAGTTCCACAAGATATTTGCCCCCTTTTCAGTAAACTTGCATTTCCTTTTCTGTTGTAAGCTGAAATCCTAGCACTGTTTCTTAAGCCGTGAGATGAGAATGCTAAAGGTTTTCTCATTTCCCCTGGACCACACACTGACGTTTACCTGTACTCAGTATCAAGATAAGACACAGTATTTTAGCAGCTCTTCTCTCCTATGTGATATTCTTTCATGTGTCCATGAACGTGTCTTCTTTGTATGCAATTTTGTCACCAGTACAGTTCTCTTCTGAGTTTGAAAGTGTAGGTTGCAACTCTAATTTCATTTACATGGAGAGAACAGATTTGTCAGTTCTGAATAGTCACCATCTTCAAAAACAGTGGAAATCTGCTTTATTCTTACCAATAACCTGCTCTGAGCAGACCAGGTGGTGCTACAGAGTGGGAGCAGATCAGTTCGATGCCGCCACATTTCATTTTATGCTACCAGAACTCATACCAAGTCCTTGAGTGCATATTATAAATATTTTCCGTTCACTGGAAATGGTGCTTATCTCTCAGGCTGTGGGAATGGATTTGAAAGGACGTAGACAAGAGACAGTGGAAAAGTGGAGGCTCTAGGAATAGGTGATAAATTCTGTTGGAAACAGAAGGCAAGGAGGAGCCTGAACTCAAAAAATCAGTAAGTTTTTGAAAATTATTAACTGAAGTAGGAAGAGCAGAGACAGGTCAACCACATTTTCAGTGTAGCCAAATTCATTTTGTTTTCAATAAACTCTTGATTTTCCCCCTTTTATGAAAAAATAGAAGCAGGATTTTTCAAAAACTGGAGAGGTACCTGTGATATAAAAACTTTAGAGATCTTACAGTCTAATTCCTGCATTTTATAGTTGGAGAAACTGCGTCACAAAGATTTTTACCTGGGATCATTAGAGCAGTAACCGCAGAATCAGAATTTAGAAACCAGTGGGAAAAAAATCATGAGATTAGCTGAAATGTGGAACCAGGGCTGTTGATTGTATTAGTAATTAGTGCTTGGATTAACCAGAATTGACAAAGTAGATCAATCTCACCAGGAGTGGGTGGTGTGCAGAAATTTACATTGCAACTTGTTGTTTTTAGTGAAAACATCCAAGTTCCTGGTCTAATTCATTTTAAAGTAAAAATAGATATGAATCAGCCAACTATTTGCCTCTACCATATTTTACTGTTTCAGTAAACACAGGCTAATCACATTCAAAAATTGAGAAATAGGAGTTTTCCTCATTTGAAACTCAGAACCAGAAAGTAATGTTCTCATCACCTTTTCCTGAGACTTGGTATCACAAATCCTGAGTGAAGCAATCACATTTTTTGTGCTGTCTTCTTCCAGATGTTTAATAAATTATTTATCCTTTATAAAAATGTTGTCAGCTTTTCCTCCATGTCTATGTCAAAAGACTATTCAAAATTTACATTGTGAGACGGCTTTTGCAGCGTGTGTGTTCTGCCTCTTCCTATGACTGTCATGGAACACACTTTTTGGAATCTTCGAACAGCTGCCTCATATCACTAGGGGTGAGTTGAAGTTCGAGTTAGCTCATAGAACACGACTGTGTGTGCACGCGCACGCATGTACTTGCACATGCACACACAAATGTGCAGGGACACACAAAAGCGTATCTGCGAGCATGTTTCAGTGGCAGAGTTTCATTGTTACAGTAAGAGGAGGTATGGTGCAGAGGGAAGGACGTAAACTTGGGGTCAGATCTGCCTTGCAGCCTTGACTCAGCTGTTTTCTAGATGTGCACTGCATTCTAATTATATTCCCTGTTCTGACCCTTAGTTTTCCTAGCATTAGCGTAAGGGTTCAGTGAGAATTACGTAAGCCAGAACATAGGTAACGTGGTTCACAGTGGATGGTATACGTTCCCTGCACCTCTCCCGTCTTTCCCTGTATGGGATCATCGGCCAAGACTGAAAAAGGAGTCACGGTAAGACCTGGAGAGGCTACTGGCGGCATGTGGACCTTCCCTGCACTGCTATGTGACAGACAGGCACATAATTTCTACCCATAGATGCTGGACCTGACCTCGTTCAGCTGCTATCTCAATTTTATTTGCTTTGGGAATTATTTAAATATATAAAACTGAGTTTGTTCTTGTATGAGTAATACAAACACTGATATAATATTTAATTGGTGTTTTCCCCCTTCTCTTTTTTCTTTGTTTTTTTTTCCGGTATCAGGAGTCGAACTCATGACCTTGCGCTTGCCAGGCAGGCGCTGTGCCGCTGAGCTAAATGCCCAGCTCCTCCCTTCTCTTTTTTCTTGACTGACCGCATTCATTTAGATTACTGTTTTGTAATATATGTTCTTAGTTGCTACTTTCAAATTACTCCAGGTAACCAACCAGCTTTTCTACTGCTTATTGGTATGTTTGCCCTGCTGTTTTGTTTACTATTTATCATTTTGTCTGTTTTTGTTATGTTTTATTTTATGGCTGTCTTCAGGATTAGTACTTGTGGAGCAGTGCTGATTTATTTAATAAGAGTCAGTGGAAGTGCTTATGTTCTAGAGAGAGAATTTTTCCGTGTAAGCTTTGAGTACCTGGCTCTGACAGCCTATGTCTGCTCATGCTTGCAGGTATTTCTTATATCTCTCCTGAACATTGGTTGAAGATGTAGTACTCCCTAGATGAAAACATGATAAATAAACATTAATATAGTAATGGGTTTTTTCTTATTTTCTGTACAGAAATAGGGAAACTTTAATAGAAGATTTTGTATCTTAATGTAGAAGAATTGTAGCATAATGAATATACTTAGAGCAAACTGTATATTCAAGAACCTTTACAGTTTATTTTTCTGGTTCAGAAATTCTTATTACTACAGAAAGATTTAGTTAGAATTTTGGCCCTTCTGAAATATAATTCTTAGATTAAAATGGCTTTTCTCTTCCCCATTCATTCCATGAAATACATCTTTGGGCTTTAATTATGTGGCCTGTATTAAGAAGGTAAACTGACATACAGTCTCTCAAATAATGTCATTGGGCTTTTTTTTCCTCCTTAAATAAAGGCCAGTTAAACAAAAGGCAAGGGGAGGGGACAATAAAACCACAATTATATCCAAGTTGGTAGAACACAACCTCAATGCTGATTTTCTGTGCTAATTATTACCTAGGTAGGTTTAAGAAAATATCCAGATGTCCACATCAGGTAAATCTGAATCTTTGGGGTTGCAACCAGTCATTTTTAAGGTTCCCACATGTTATTCCACTGTGAAGCCAAAGCTGAGGACTGCTTGACTGAAAGCCTGTCTGTCACATAGCAGTGCAGGGAAGGTCCACATGCCGCCAGTAGCCTCTCCAGATCTTACCGTGACTCCTTTTTCAGTCTTGGCCGAAATCACGTTCCTGTCTGTAAGTGCCAGCAGGCAGTCTATAGTGAAAATTATATGCCTTCATAAAATGAATTTGTATGATTCTCTATCCTGATGAAAAATAAGAAAATGTTAAAAATTGTATTTATCCTTGATCTCTTTCCCCATACGTGTTGGCAAGCCTCCATTTCCCATTGACTTAACGTTCAATTTTTCTCTTCACTGTTTTTCTTGGGTGACATTGGAAATTTTTACCATCTGATGAAGGCAGATGTATTTTCAAATAAAAATGTCTTAAGCATTTGTTCTTCCTACTATTCCTTTCTTTGGCAGAATATTCATATAGTTGATAAATAGTTTGCTTTCTTTAAATACCTTTTCATATAATCTTTGTAGCATGTTTCATGGGTATTTTAACCTAGTTTTATGGTTTTTCATGAAATAAGGTATTTTCTAAATATGTTATGCTGAATTTAACCGAAATAAGCAGTTGTACTGTATGCCTTTAAAATTATGATGATTTCTTGCATTTTTAGGGTAACACTTTTATCCTGAAAGATTCAAAGCACACTGAGAATGGTTGCAAATTATACAGTGAAGCAGAGTCACCATTGTGGGAGAGGCACGGCAGCTGTCTAACAGCTGATCGCCACCCTGCGCAGCAGGTTAGGGTAGGCAGTGAAGAATAATACTGGAATTACCCGAAAAAAACTTGCCACGGGGTTGAGGTAAGCAGGATGTAATCACCTAAGTTGTAATTTATCCAGGACATAAGGCTAACACCTCCAATCTCAGAAGAGAAAGCTCTGATTCCTTTAATAACCATGAACTCGCTTGCTACATAACTGAAATGTAAGGGTGCATCTACCTTCTTCAAACCATCAGTGTATGCTCTTAGAGACCTAAAAATAAAAAAGAAAGCCCTTTCCTAAAAATCCACATGCTCATACTCAGGAATGAGAAATAGATTTCCACGGTCATGCTATCTTTGGCTCTTACTATGTGATGATTGAGGATTCTGAAGCTGTATTGGGATTTAAAAGAAGTTCCATGATAGATTAGTAATGTCTGACATAGACATGTGAAAAGTCATGCTTAAACTTAGTGTAGTCTTAAGAATTGGCTGTTGCTTCCCTGAGATATTTAGCAATACTATTAGTTCTTTCAAATGTTATAATTAATGTTTATTATGGCTCCAGACATATTTAAATTCTTCTAGGAAAATTTTAGAGGAAAAGGGCACTCATCATTTTTTACTAACTATCATTGATGCAATTAGAAATAAAAACATGGAACTTGAGGCCAGAAATCTCCATGTAAAGGATCCAATTTGTTGTCAGGTTGAGGTTTCATTTGGGAAAATAATCAAGTCAGTGTCTGAGAGAAGCAAACAGGAATTAAAATCAGGAACACAAAGTAACAGAAACGTTATAGTTCAAGGTGAGAATTGGAAACCAGAATTTGATTGTTTGAGGAATCATGGGAACAGGGTAGCAGGGCCCTGGGTCTGAAACCAGCACCAGGGATAGCTCCCAGTGATGAGGACTTGGGCTCTCGAGTTCTTTCCCATCAGCCCTACCCCGCTGTCTCAGGCCTCCAACTTTATAGCTTACGGATGCCTATGAAATCAGGGAAACCGATCGTTCCCCCTAGTAGTGTTAATGTTAGACGCAAGTTGAAAAGTGAGGTACAATACAGTTCACTTCCTGTCTTATTTGATTTATACAAATGTGCATGCTAGATTGTGCAATTCATATTTATATTTGTGAAAGTGAAACTTAATAAATTTGCCCATAGTCCTGTTTCAGATATGTAGTGGCATTATAAGTCAGACCTTGACCTGTCCGGCGTCAGAGCACTGGCTCTTGATTACTGACCCGTGAAGTTATAGGAGTGTAAGTTCACCTGTACTCTGGCTTCTATAAAGCACAGTGACTATCAGGTGTTTTAGAATACAACTGAGGGGAATTTAGAATGCTTCTAAGAATGACTGGAGTGCAGATGATCAGAGTGTTCTGTGTTCCCGAATTATTACATGTGGAACTCACAGAATTTGCGTGTGTGTGTGTGTATGTGTGTGTCTTCCTTCTTTTGTTACGGTGGAAGTTTTTTTTTTTAATAGAACAACCATGTGTCAACCTCGTTAGAGACAATTCCTGCATCCCCATGAGTTAAGTCCACGTGACATCTAAGTTACTTCAAACTCTGTAGTATTTTGTTCTTATGCCTTATATTGTTGTCATATTCACTATTTAATTTTCTCCTAATTCACTATTTTATTTTCTCCTAATATAAATGGATATGAGAGGCTATAAAATACCTTTTCAACTCTTTCACTTAATATAGAACCATAAACTTGTTCTTTTCAAATATCTTTGAGTCTAATATTAAAAAAAACAAGGACTTAAAATTGTAAATCACATTTCGATCTATATTTCTGAGAACTGACTCTTCTGGGCATTGATTTGCTTTGTATTCTGAGAGAGTTTCAGATAGGAAAATAGAAAAAGGTTGCTTGTACAACTTAATAAAACAGCCTTGTCTAAGTAAACTCTTAAAAAATTCTCTTTCTTTTTATGACAGGCCATGCAGGAAAAACAAATTCTATTTAATTACCTGCATATAAAAATAATTCATACAATATTTGCATAACAGTGTCCAAAATTCAGTTTTACATCTGAGGTCTTATGAGTTTATGCTTAAGGCAAAGGTTAATTTAAAGTTCCTAAAAGTGTATTATAATAGAAGAACCAACGCATCTTTAATCATAATAATGCTATCATATCACTTTTAAGGATTATTCAAATTGTTGTTGGTTACTGTACCTTCATGATAGAAAAATAATATTCTGTTATTCCACAAACAGTAATGATAACAGGATTAGAAAAGTGGAGGAGGGTGTCTGTATAACAACTAGACATTGTTTTCCAGAAAACATCTTTGTTCATGGTTTGTAAATTAAGCTGTAATAATAGTGTATCAAGAATCTACTTATGTGGCTTTACACTTTCTATACAAATGTAATTTTAAGACTTTTCAAAATTGAGAAATAACGTAATAATTCATATGATTTGTGAAAGGAGATATAGATCATTTATTAGACAAGTCATATTTGACTTTCTTTTACATGATATTAGCCATAAGAGTACGTGTGTGTGTTTGTGTTTATGTTTGAAAATATTTTTGTGTCTATCCCTCTGGATATTTTAATGCAATTCTAGTCCCGTTCACACTGACCTTTCATAGTGGGCCACAATTTAGTATCTTATGGAACTTTTAAAAATCCTTCTGGCCAGAAAACACTGCAGATCAAATAAAACACGAATATATTTATTAATTTCCTGGTTTGAGAACCAGTGATAAAATACATGAAAGCATTATACCTTAGTAAAGTTAAGTATTATTAGCAAAGCATTTATCACTTGTACAAATGTAGGTAATAATATAGAGAAGATGAAAGAAAAATTTCACTTTCAAAATGTAGAGGAGATCTTTTTTGGAGTGTAAAATTATTAGTGAAATGAGGTAACCAGATAGATCATAATATTAAATAAAATACAGTCTAAAACTGAATTTCATTTAGTGTTCTTTTAGTAAGCAGTGTCTTAAGTAGAACAAGCAGAGAAAGATATAAAACACCCACAATTCACCTGGCCACTTGTGCAGTTTTTTTTTCTTGACTCCAGCTGCTGGCCAACTTATGACCTGAATCTTCATGATTAATAGCTCTTATAATATTTTCTTAGCTAGTGTAACTTCAATTGCAATACTTTTTCTTCTAATGTCTTATCCTTATAAAATAGCACTAAACTATTTTTCTCAATAAATTCTACTGACACATGGTCCCACAGATTAATTATAAATTGCATAGAAGTAGTGTTCTTTGTCAGTATCAAATGTGTAGCTTTATCTTCTCTTTGTCCTTGTCTTTCCCAGCTAAATGGAATTAGAAATTTAAAGAAACCTCTGTTTCACATGGACTCTTTTTCTGTTCTCTTATTTTAAACAATAGTGCTATTAATTTTCATCTTAGATGGCTTGGTTATTCTACTATTTTCATCATTATTATTATTTTTAAAAGTTTTCTCTATTTTAACCCATTTATTATACAATATTGTATAAGTATCTTTTTAGGGAGTATTTTTCTTCAAATATTAAATATTATTTTTATCTCGTGGGCTTTTTTCATAAGTTGAGTTGGGAACACCAAGAACTTCTTCTTCTCCCCCTTCTCCTGCCCCATCTCCTCTTCTTTTCTTTCTTAGGAAAAGACGAAAGGAGGAATGGGTGTCAGAAAGACTTAGAAATGCACGTTAGCCCAATTTTCCATGGGCATTTTAAAACACCTCAGGGTAAATGGAAAAAAAGAAAACTTTAAAGCCTAGATCGTTTATTACTGAAATTATAATACTGGCACATCTCTGCAAATATTTCCTTACAGGGTTACATACATAATTCACAATAAATGTCTTTCGTTACAACGGACTTACATCCAGTAAAGTAGAGCCTGTGTTCCAGGGGAAATTGATTGCAGATATTTCATTCTGTTGCTTTCACACTGCCTTCCTTCTCCATGCTTCCCCCGTACTTCATCATCCCATTACAATAGCAGTATCTCTGGAAAGAAGATAGAGGATGCTAACACTGAGTCTTTAGTGTAAGTGAAGAGGAAAAAAAAAGCCTCAGAGGGCTATATCTGAGCATGAGAATTATCATTTTTCCTGAAATGCTGACCCAGTTACTTACCCTTTGAAAGGGGAAAAAATAGGACAGGGAAATATGAAAAAAAAAAATGAGTTGGTCAGATGAAACAAGGACCTTGATTGTAATTCTGATGAAACATTGTAATAATCATTAAAAGACAGAGCCAACTGTACTTTCTTGAGGTATGGGCAGTTCTCAGAATGGTGTGGTCATAGAGGTAGCTGAGAAAATCTCAGCTTTTCCCTTAACATCTCCCAGAGGCTTCTTGAAGTTCTGGTCCCTCTGAGAGAAGCAGTTCTTACTGGAATCCCTCTTTGGAAGTTCCTGTAAAATTCCTGAAATGGGATATAAAATTTTGTGAGAATGTGCACGCAGGCATGTCTCTTGAGAAGATCCTAAGCTCTCACCAGGGTGTTATGTGTCCATATGCAGTCTCTTTAAAAACAGATGTCCATCATATCATTGTTGTTTATAATGTAATGTGACTTTGCTCAAAGTTATTTCCTCCTGAATATTTTACTGAAATGTGCTCATTGATTTTTAAAAGCAGTATGGACAATACTGATTTCATAGTTAAGCCGTCATTCTATCTTATGGCTAAAGAGTTGACTTCTTAATCTAAAATTACTGCTTAGATATCCTGACCCAAAAATCTCATATTCTTTCACTCCTTTCACTGATCGTGAAGGAGTTCAGTATAAAAACTCATAGAGATCTGGGGGCAGTTGGATTTGAATGACATACTTCAGGCTCTAAATACCAGCTAAGAAGTTAGCATGATAGAACTGTGTATACAACGCTTAGTGGGTGAGGTCGGAACGGTGACATGCACAAGGTAGAAAAGTAACAAAATTGAGCTTGTCTTAAGATACCCTTCCCAACCTCTAGGTCATCTGGTACTCAAGGAAACTGGAGGAGCAGTCCAAACAAATATTTATTATCTTACACGAAAAGATTTTTTTTTGCATTCTTTTGTAAAAATTTTGGACATTTTTTATATGTCTTCTTTCCAATCTTTAGATATCTAGACTAACTCATTATGTCATTAACTTTGTTACATTACATTGATGTAGCATTTAAAGCAATTTAATGCCACTTTGAATGGTGAATTAATTTATATTTTATATAACACTTTGTAGTCTCTAGGGCAGGTATTATTAATTAAATTTTTGATATCTGAGTAAGCAGGCATAGAGTACTTATTTTCTAGCAGCTCACAGTGTAATGAAAGTGAAATTTTATATATATATATGTATATATATATAGAAAGAAAGACAGAGAGAGAGTGTTACCAGAAAAAGCACTTATGTTTAGATAATATAGGTTTCATATTCCTTTTTCCATTTATTTCTTAAAACTGCCCTCGGAAGCAAATAATCGTACTTTGCTGGTAAAGGATATGGTGTCAGAGATCTCTCAAATAGGCAGTGCCAGGACTGCCCTGTAGCCCAGTATGATCAAGGGTTCCTTTGCCTAGCTCAGATGGTACAAGATTTATTTTTATTCAAGGGAATCCTTGAGGCCTGGTAGAATATGCCTTTTTAGAAATCCAACAGCTCCTCCCAGCTAGAGTTCAGGGAGCCAGTATTTGACGAGTTTGTCATGAGGTGGTGCATGTAGTACAAAGTTAGAATTTCCATATTCAGAATATCTTGCTGTCTTTTCAGGACCTTTAGTCATAATTCCTTACCCAAGTATGTCAGTAATGAATTTTGAGAATGAGTGCTGCAAATATCACTTCCTAAAGACATAGGTCCTGCTATGACTCATCTATCTCTTCTGTTGACATTTATAAACATCCCTATATTTGAACATTTGGCTTCTTATCAATTTATAATTGTAAAGATTGACATGTGAGACATTTATTTGGGCTTGTTATTGTGTCCAGGACCTGTGTAAGTTTTGGGTGTCCAAAGTTGTTAAGTCCCTGCTACTCAGAAGTTTTTATGACCCATATTTTTTTAGCTCATTGAAATGCAGTGTCATACAGCATTGCTTTGCTATCCTTGAAAAGTTGATATTTGTATTATTGTGAATACTAACATGTAGCCAGCATTTCTATAGGACATATACCATGTTTTAAAAATATTCCCAGCTCTTAATCTTAGCAATAGCTAGAGAAATACTTAGTTTTATTTCATTCATATATATATATATATATATATATATATATATATATATATATATATCCATTCAGCAGTTCATAGTGGTATTTTATAATGGA